ACCCTTCATCTTTCAATTTCGCGAGCTGTAACTTTTTTTTTTTTTTTTTTGTTATTATCGCGGCCACGCTTTTGATGAGCGGACAAGGGAGCGCACAAGACGACGTGTGGAATCTAGGTGTCTAGATCGTGAAAAATCGCGACAGTTGGTTAACTTGCGCTGGCAACTGAATTGCGAACCATAACGAGTGGCCGAAACCGTGTACAATAATTCGTCGCTTTTCTTTTTGAGCTCGTCGGTATGACATCACCGGATAGAAATGATTGACAGGTAATAAATTGATTATTTGTTTCTGCCTATTTTGTTTCACTTAAATATACTTAAAACTGAGAGAATATTTTACAATTTTGGAACAAAAAGTTGTCGACTTAGCACTCGTTTTTCTCGTTATCAGAGGACTTATCTTTGATCCTGGCGTATTTCAATGTCGCGAGTAGATATTTGTAGCGATTTTATATTTTTGCAACTATAATTAAAGAAGTGGAATTTAAATGGAAATTTGTTTTACCTACCAAATATCACAATAAGCGGTCTAGTTTAAATTTTGTGCGTAAACGTTTACAGTTGATTACAAGTTTTACGGGAAATGACTTTAAAGATGAAATGTTTGGAGTTATCTGGAACACTTAAAAAGTCGCAGAAACTTATTTAATAATATTAAACAAGAAATAACAAGATATTACGTGTAATTAATGTAATTCATTTAAAAGTATATCGTTAAGGAAAACAAACAGTCGACTGGAAACCAGAAACGAAATTTCCATCGTGAGAAAATATGTATCGCAAAAGGAGAACGTGAAACACGTGCAAAATGTTCCACGTTTTACGCCAAAAGATATACGGCGAGCGTACCGAGACGATTCTTTCGCCCAGCGATAAAAAATTTTATTTTTTACCTCTCCTCTTTGTTTTGTCCTTGCTATTAATTATTCGTAATGAGCGTGGAGAGGGGAAATACGTAGAAACCCTTGGCCGGAACGATGGAAGTTGGGGCAGCCGGTCCCAAAGGCGGCGAAGTTTCGCGAGGGTACGAAGATTTCACGGTGTTATGATTATTCTACTCGTTTTTAATTTCAAATGAGCCTCTCAGCGTTGCGCGTCGCCGTTTGTTTTTTTAATGACGATTGAAATTGCTTCGTGCCGGATGCCGGGCCGGGCAGAATTTTCAAGTTTCTCGAAACGTTGTAATTTTCGTGAGAAACTGGAACTTTTCCATGAAGGAGAGAAAAAGAGAGAGAGAGAGAGAGAGAAACCTTTTGTTACTGGAGATCACATACTAAAATACATGTGCACGTATGACACGTGAAATGGATAATAAAAGGATTTATACAAGTACTGAAAAAGTTATACAACTTTTTAATAGCTTCTGCTTTCAAAGCATGAACTGTGAAGCGTTTTAAAAAGGAAACATTCTCACTTTACGTATAAGTTCCTGTGAGGACAGATAAAGAGAAACGAAGAATTCTCTTTCTGTCTGAATAAAATTTATACAATGTAAAACTACAAATTTATATTAAATTAACAAACTTGAATGGCTTAAATTAATATTAATTGAATTCTCTTTATTAATATAATATTATATATATATATATATATATATATATATATATATATTGATGTTATAATGTAATATAATATAATATTTGTACTAAATTATAAATGTAATATAATATAATATTTATACTAAATTATAAATGTAATATAATATAATATTTGTACTAAATTATAAATGTAATAAAATATACTATTTAACGAATAATATTACAACAACATGAAATTAAAGCAATTGAATTCACATTCTGAATACGTCGTTCATTTGTAATATTTACATCAACATTAATGACACGTAATATTTAATTAATATTAATGTAACAACGGTCATCGAAAGGAGAAACACGAAAGCTTCGTTCGTTCATTCGACTATATTCAAACGCGTGCGAACACAGGCACCCATGAAATATAGTTAATTAAAAGATCACTACAAATAATTGATTGCTACTCGCGCATACGCGAAATAGGAGATAGTTTTCATTTGTTGCTCGTTGCTTCGCGAGGAAAATGCGAAACGTCTTTGCCGTGGTTGGAAAGCGCGTTGAAGGTTCACGTGGCAAAGGTGATTTTGAAAGTTTCCAAGTATCACTTATACTTCTCTCGGGATATCCGCTCGTGCTTGGTCCCATTAAGCACTTTAACTCGTGTTTTTTCTTCCTTTTTCTTACTTTTCCCTCTCTCTCTCTCTCTCTCTCTCTCTCTCTCTCTCTCTCTTTCCTTCGTCCCCTCCTTCCTGAAGGAGAGTGTATTTAACGTGCAAGGTCGTGCAAGAGTAAGCCGACGGTCTAAGAAGTTGCCGGCGGAGGGAGGGTGCTCAAATTTATTATTGGAATAATGAAAGTATTAAAAGTTGCCGATGAACGAGCCACCCGTATTCGTTACGATATCGGAATTTAGTTGGAAAAAATCCCGGTAGCTAACCTGGGCCAGATGGGAAAAGAAGACGGGATGGTCGCCCGGATATCTTCACGTTTAATTAATTCGTTACGTTCGCCCCGGGTATTGAAGGACGAGGCTGAAAAATAGCCAGATCGTCGCGCGGAACGTTCGAGAGGAGGGTGGATGCTGGAAGACCTCTGGAATTGGCGGAATCTTCGCAAGAATGTTGTATCTGATTATCTCGACGCTCGGCAACTTCTTTGGGCAACGTGCTTCGAGTAACGATTACGATTCCCTTGACTTTTCGCCTTTCACTTTACACACTTTCGCGTTAATTCGCGAGCATCGAGCTTTTCGTCGATCCAGTTTCAATTAGGAGGCAACTGGAAGAGTGCAAGAGAGATGGATTTAAGAATTGTTCCGTTTGTGAATTTTGTAACTACCTAGTGGCTAGGTGTAACAAAACTAGGTAGTTTGCAAGAAATTATTTTTTATTGGAGAAAACAAGTCGTTCGTCCATAAGTAATATTTTAATATTCGCGTCTGTGGATGAACAGCTCGCGAAAATATGTACATACGTGTTTTAGTGTATTTATATGTGTTGTAAGAAATATTTTGAAATTTCATTGACACTGTGACGAGAAACGACTGTGATAATTATATTGATAAAATTTGAGAGTTTTGAGATTTAATTAACGGTGAGATTCAAATATCGTAATCACACCAGTCAAATTCGAGATGGATTTAAAAATATGTGCACGTGGAAAATTGTGATACACCCCTTGAAAACATATATTTAGTAACAAATTATTATATAGTAATCTTGGCTATTCTGACTGCTTAAATATTTTTGAAACTCTGCAAAATATATAAGTAATTTAAATATCTTGTGATATCATAATAAAATTTTATATTAACATGATATGATTATATATATAATATAATATAATATATTATAAGATATTATATATTATAACATAATATATATATAATATTATAATTAAGTATATATATTAATATTATATTAAGTATATATAATAATATTAATATATAATTATTATAATTAATTAATTAATTATAATAATAATATTAATATATAATAATTAATTAATTAATTAATTAATTATAATAATATTAATATATAATAATTAATTAATTATAATATTATATATATAATATTATAATTAATTATATATATTCAGCACACTCTATATTTTCGTTATACATATCATGTTTCGTAAAACATAGATAATATATATTATTAATATCAGTATCGATGAATGGATGTATGTGTAGCATGTTGAGTGTCATTTCCGAGAAACGCAATTTCTTAGAAATGTAGAAACGAAAATGTAAATATTCGTTCTCAGCCGCGAGGTTTATATTGCATCACGACAGTATCCTTGAGCGTGGATTATTCTATAACATGTTATTACAGGAGACACGAGACTCGAAATTTCTCAGTAATAATGGCCTCGAGGCGAACAAGTTCGAATATTTACACTCCTCAGTCGTACGGAAGCTATCGACAGCGTGACATTCGTGTAAAATACGGTCGATTAAGTTCGTGAAAAATAGACGATAAAGAAACAGTTAAATCCAGTTGAAATACACGCGATAGTGAAATTAAACGAAGAACATTGTTCCGTGACAAAAGTAGCCGAAATAGTTGACAGAGGTCGTAAAGTGATAATGAATTTACTGAAAGATCGCGACGATCGTGGAAGAAGAAACAGTAGTGAACGACCGCAGTGTCCAACGTGCTATGATACGTGTAGCGTCAAATTCAGGCTTCCAGAAAAAGCTGAAGTCGCGATGAATTATCGGACGAAAGTTTGTGAATGTAAAATGGACTAGAAGTAAATAAGTGAAACGTTTGACGTTTATAAAGGAATAATTTTACTTTTCTAATGCATAAAAGCCAAGGCATGGCATTTCGTTCGAAGTGGTAGCAGAAACCGTCTCCTCGTTCAGAAAATCATACGAACGTTGCATTGCAAAATACCTCGTTCAAAGCGTGTCACCAACGACGTTACTACCGAGATATTTCGTTCTTGGATTCAGAAGTGTTGAAGTGTATGAAATCTCGTTCTTTCTTTGGCATTTCTCATACTTCTTATTTTCACTTCAGTGTAAGTACATATTGAAATTAGATTGTGGATTTTTATGCAGTTTCACACTTTTATGGAAAAAAAAAGAACGAAAAAAAGAAAATTTGTTTCTGCGGTATTTTAATGTTACAACAAGCACGTTATTTTCGACATTTTATATATTTTTATATACCACATGCTTGTTATCGAATTTCTAAATTTCACCCAAGTGCATAAAAATCCGCAGTTTGCAATTTACAGTACAATCACAATAGTATTTTTAAAATCAGTGAATCGAAAGCAAGTCGTTGAAATTTGTAATTTGTAAAAATAATAAATTCATCCTTCGAGTACGATGCGCTCGCGTCTCATGGCCTATGGACGCCATTTTGGCTCCACGTTTAATAATTCTAACGTTACGAAGAACTATCCCTTAAGCTCTGAAACACGACTCGACTAACACCGAACGTTTGTTTTCAGATTAAAAGTGGAGAATCTGGGTGGCGCTTGGTGTCCCAAGAATCAGATCACCCAGGAAGCCCGAGAATGGCTGGAGATCGACCTTCATACGGTTCACTTAATCACGGCTACCGCTACGCAAGGTCGCTTTGGGAACGGTCTCGGCGTTGAGTATGCAGAGGCGTATCTCCTCGAGTATTGGCGACCACGTCTGGGCAAGTGGGTTCGATACAGAGATATCAAAGGGAAAGAGGTGAGTGCCCTTATCTTTCGGAACTCCATTAACTAATTTACCGACATCGAGTCGTCTAGTTTCCATATACCGATCTCAGACTTTCTCAGATTTACCGTAGATCGGCGTAGATTCCGCCGTTTAAATTCGAGAACTGTCTAAATGTATACGCAATGTGGATCGAGTTCGCGGTGCGAAATGTTCTGCGATTATGAACAAATTGAAGTGTCAGAATATTGTAGGGAGATCCTGCTTTTAAAGATAAAATTACTTACGACTACGAAGAAGAAAAAGAGTAGGATATTTTACTATTTTTTTTTTATACTCGAAATGAACGAAAAATAATATTGAAAATAATATTTATATAAACTATTATGGAACAGATATGATTTATAATGAATAGTTGGTATAACATAACAGAAATTCATACAAGAATCTACTAGTGATTTTCGGATTCAAACAAGACAAATTCAACCAACATTTCATTTAATCGGTGATTGGTTCGAATGGTGTTCCATATTATATAAACAATGTTATTAAAAATTAAAGATATTAATTTTACAATATTCGTTAATTGTCTCTTCTTTAATTCTTTGGAATTGCATGCCAATATTAATTTCTCAAAGACTAGAAATTTCATATCCAATTGTAAAGTGATATGAATATGTAGACTGTCTAGGCTCTTAACATAATCTTCATGCATAATCTTCACATCTGATTCATTTCCAATTCGTGATTCGTTTCTACTCAATTATATTTATCAGAATGAAATGAATATCCGTTGTATTAAACTATATCGTTTGTTATAAAAGGACTTAGCAAGTACAAAAAACACTCTTTGTACATTTAACTTCCAGTGCTTGAATCTTTTGCGTTAAATAATTTCTGAATTCCATTGGAAACTATTAAATTTTAAGTAATATCCCTGTTGAACTTTCTTCATTAATTGGCGGATTATTGATAGCAACAAATTTTATCTTCCTGTAATCAATACTTTTGAAAGTTGAGCAATACTAACATTCTGGCGTTCTTGGTCCTTATATTTCTTTACATCATCTTCACATCGAATGCCTTGAAATTATCAAATCGATAATATATCAGCGCATGTTGAATTCATTCTGACACAACATTGCGAAAATTTATGAAAAAATTATGAAAAGAGTGTTAACCACTTGCGCTGGGCAACTGATTGCGGACCGTAACGAGTGACCAAACCGTATAAAATAATTTGTCGCTTTCTTTTCGAACTCTTCGATATCACTAGATAAAAATGATTGAGAAGCAATAAATTTATTATTTGTTTCGCCTGTGTATTTAGTTACATTTAAATATACTTAAAACCGAGGAAATATTGCAATTTTGAGGCGAAAAATTTTTAAAGTGCGTGGCACGTCATTCCAGCGCAAGAGGTTAAAAATTTGTTCCCCTCCCCTATCGTTAACAAGTCTCAATCTAGCCTCGAGGCTCCGAATTTCTTCTTTTCGTCGGGCATCAATTTCGGGATCAATGTGGCATTTCGCCGGTCAATGAGGGTCGCGAACGAGCGTACTTTGCACGCGCAGCCGCGGGATTGATAAAAACAGCTCGCGATATCGTGATTTATGAACGATTCTCGCATCTGCTCGCTGGCCGATCGGCAGCAGCTGCGCTCGGAATAGCCGAAACCGAAATTGGCAGTGGGCTGGTCATTGGCCTGAAATAATAATAATTCCGCGGGTGATCGAGGCGGCGTGATTGTTGTTATTCCCGGTTGCGCTCTTGAAGCGCTGAAACTCGCAATCGGCGTAGGCGAGCGCCGGCGGCCTATGATCAAGAATCGAAGGCCAGGCAGGAAGGATTATCCCGCTCGAAACGTAAGCAGCTTATCGCGAATCCGTAAGCTAATTTCGTACCGACGATGCGCCACTTTGTCGAAGCTAGTCCCGAAGCCGGAGCCTTGCGGTCTTTGTGCCGCCGAGTTTCGCTTCTGAATTATACGGAACTTCGCGAAAGGCTGCGGATCTTCTGATTTTTCTCCCGTTGAATTCTCGGAGCGAAACTTCCGGCGTTTAATTCGAGCGAACAAAATCGACTGCAACAGTTGGTAATTTTGTTGATTTATAACGACGCATTTTTGGAGGTTTTTTTTTTTTTTTTATTAAATATTCAGATGGATAGTGATTTTTTTTTCTCTTACTCATATATATTTTTTGTATTTTTATTTGTATTTTTTTTGTAAGTCGTCGATGTTTGTTTTCAGTAGTATTGGAAGGCACGTGTAAAACACGACCTCTGTGTGTGTGTGTGTGTGTGTGTGTGTGTGTGTGTGTGATTTTAAAAAGAAGCGCTTCGGTTCTTTCATGCTCGTTTCATGTAATTTTTTAACATCGAAACTATTATTTGAGTTTTCAACGACATCGCCTAATTCATAAGTTGGTCCATTGAGTTCATTCGTCAATATTTTTGGAGAAATATCGTTGCAGTCTCTGGTCATGCAATGACTTTCGTATCTCCCTTCACAAACATTGAATATTATTTAAGAATTAAAAATCAAGTTAAAATTAAAATTGAAATTAAAAATTAAAATCTGAAATACTTTTTTAGTTTCATTAAGCTGTTAACCGAGGAGAATGAATTAACCCGACCAATTTTTTGAATATAATATTCCTGTTCATTCTTTCAAGATGTGATATCATTTCCACTAAAAATATATTATATCATGATTGCAAGAATTAAGGCCAAAGTCAATTTGTCTTTATAATTTTGTATTCTTTTGATGGAAGAGCATAAATCAACTGAAACAATAGCAGTCATTATCAAAAAAGGAAATACGGTACATGTTTCAAAAGTACAATGGGTCGAGACATATCTAATTTTAAATATCATAAACTTTATAAATCTGCAAACTTTATAATTCTAACTTTACAATTCAGCAATCCTTCACTCGTTCGTCAAAAAATTACTTCGGTTAAAGACAAAACACTTTATTAAAACACCCTCTTTCGATTAGAATATAAATTTATTAGAATTATTTAATATTTTGTATTCCAATATCTCATTGAATATTAGAATATAAAGCAAGGAAAATTCTACGCAAACACGAGCAGAACCCTCGAAAAATCTCAATACCCTGGTAATAGAACGATAAAGTCTCGAGAAAACCTATCAATGTCGTAACAAATTTCGAGATAAATTAACCGTGCAACTAAACAACTTGTCTAAGAATTGAGAGCATTTGGAACATGGGGATACGAGTAGCACGACGAACAATATACCGGGGCTTTTTCGACAAGTACCGGTTTAAGATAGCAACGTACAAACCAGCAATAAGCCATGACTCGTAAGCCACGCCAAGGGTGACACGATACGTTTTTACCGAACTTATCGTTCTTTGGCTTGTTCAATGTTCATGCACTTCGTCAGCGTGGCTATTACGACACTTTAAACCTCCTGGGGCGCGATTTCGTATGACGGCTATTAATGCACGAACAGGACAATGGCTTCGTTTTTGCGATACCACCAATAACATACAGTCGCTTACGAAAGTATTCGAACGCATTGTATTAAGATTTTGAAATTTTATTACGTATATAGACAATATATACAATACATGGAATATGTACGACATGTAAAACTGATATTTAATTTAGAGATAAAAGATAAATATTTTTATGTATTTATATTTTAATATATTTTAATATATTTATATTTTATTATAATATAATATAGTTATATTTCAATATATTTTAATATATTTATATTTTATTATAATATAATATAGTTATATTTTAATATATTTTAATATAGAGATAAAAGAGAGATATAAAATATTTAATATACTTTACTTGTAGAAATTCACAATCCATTATATCAATAAATCTTTAACAGTCCATCTAACTAATATCTTTTAACTTCTGCATACATTTTCAGACTGGTAATAGTACATTCTATATTTTGTCTGTATAAAATTTTTGTCTGTATTTGAACACTTGTAAGAATTGAGAATATGTATTGTACAAGACATTTCGAAATTTCATTGACTCAATATCATTGTATTGATCAAATTTGAAATATAATCTAAAAATTATATTTATATAGAAATTACAAAACACATGTACTTTTTTAGACATCGCATATGCATTTAAACGCTCCATTATAAATCTTAATATTCAGAAATCAACTTTGTTATACTATATATACTAATTTCGTAAAATACCTCGTAATTGCTGTGCCTGTGCATTTTCAAATTGATATCGGATGACTCTCGACTTCGTAAAAAAAATTCGCCACAAGTGTTCGAATACTTCCACGAGCAACTTGTACGTCCAACGAGAAATGCGTGATAAAGAAAAGAAAAAAAGAAACAACAACCAGCCAGGCAAATTGGCAACGATCTCTCCCTCCCTGTATCTCTGCTGTCCGGTTGGTATCTTATTAATATTGATGGACCGAACAAGCCAAGAGACTGTTGCGGTCCGCTGCGCGAGCTATCGTGGTTCCACGTCGCGTGCTCTACTTCGTGATTTCGTGTAAAGTCTAATTTCGACGCCGATAACAATCGCCAGACTGCTCTCGAGGCACGCCTGAACCATGGATCGTTCCTCCGCCCTAGCGAACCGATAGAAATTAGCGCTGAACGTTGCACGTACAACGGCCTGAACTTGCTTGAGCTCCGCCTCGTGTGATTTATAGCCTCCATCGGTGAAACTCGCTGCTTTTCCAACGATTATAGCTCCCCAACAAAACTCACCGTTCCCCGATAATCCCGATCGGATATTTCCAAGGGAGATAAGAAACGAAGCGAAAAGGAAGAGCGCACGGCGAGGACACGGCGAAACTGCGATTTATCGAAGCTATCGGCAGAGCGACGAGGCTCAAAGAAACACTCGATTTGGGACGTTGAATTACTCGCCGATACCGCCATTAAATGCAAATAGGCTACCAGGCGCCACAGAATTGATCATCGTAGAAGAACAAGGAATAAAATTACTGGCCTCATGGCCCAGAAGTGTAGATTTTCTCGTCGAACTTCCCGGTGAGGA